CTGTTTTCTATAGTTTATTTTTTTTCGTTCATATGAATACATATATACGTATGTACAACATATGTACGTATGTAGTTTGTTATATATATGTAAACTATGGCATCCCCTACACACATACATGTAACTTACTTTACGTTGACATCACTGTCACTTTAATTGAAATAAACAAAACAGTCTTGTACTGCACTTAAACGGAATAACACATGGCGCAGCCGAATAAGGAATGAAAACACGGAGTGGGGCTGAATTGAAGCAAGATAAAAGCGAAGACAGCACGGACGACGAAGGTGATGACTTCAAAATGGCCAATAGTAGCAGCACTTATGGTAGTTTGGACGTGAGACGCCCTGATCCCCTAAAGTTTGATGGTAATGTTGCAGAGCAATGGCGTGTTTTCAAACAAAATTTTGATATATACGCCATAGCCATTGATTTGGAAGAAAGAAAAGAACAGCAAAAAGTTGGAATATTTCTCAATGCGTGTGGTCCAGAAACAATTGAAATTTTTAACACTTTTGGACTTACAGTGGAACAGAAGAAGAATTATGATGCAGTTTTTGCGGCAGTTGAAAATTACTGCACGCCAAAAAAAAAAATGAGGTGTATGAAGCTTTTAGATTCAATTCGCGGAAGCAGGAGGAGGGGGGAGCCATTCGAATCGTATTTGCTTGACTTGCGCAAAAGAGTGAAACATTGTGGGTATACGGACATGGATAGAATGATTCGAGACAACATTGTTATTGGGACAAACAGTCAAAAGCTGCAGAAAAAACTCTTAGAAACAGAAAATTTGACTTTGAGCAGAGCCATTGAAATCGCGCGCGCTGCTGAGCTAGTGGACAAATATACAAATGAAATGCAACAACAAAGCAAATGCACAACAGTGAATGCAATAAGATCACACAAACAAATTTCGCAAAATAGCGGTGCGCGCAATACAATAGAAAATACTAAAAGTTTGAGCAAAGAAAATGTACGAGTTAAGCATAATTCAAGACAAAGTGCTAATTGTAAATTTTGTAAAGGGGTTCATGAGTTTGGCAAATGCCCAGCCTTCGGGAAAAAATGCAACAACTGCGGTCGTTTAAATCATTTTAGCGTTGCGTGTTATAGCTCACAAGTTCACGAAATAAAAGAGAGTGACGAAAAAAGGGAATGTGGCGATGATATTGTTTTGCATAATATTGAAGACTTATCAGTGGGTCGGAAAAGATGGTATGAAAAAATCAGAGTGAATGATTGCCTCATAAATTTTAAGTTGGATACGGGTGCCGACGTTAATATTTTGCCTTACAAGTATTTTATAAAATACATGAAAAATACGATGCTCTATGAAGGTGGTTTGCCACCACGCAGTTATAGTGGAGCTGAGTTGGATTACAAAGGTGTAATTCAATGTTTAGTGATGTGCCGAAATGAAATAAAGACTTTACAATTCACGGTTGTTGATACACCATACGAACCTTTGTTAGGACTATCAGCGTGTGAGCAGCTTAATCTTATAAAGCGTGTAAACGTCATTCGTGAAGCAACAAGGGATGAATTTATACGAAACTATAGAGATGTTTTTGAAGGCACGGGATGTTTTGTGACGAACTTGGATATCCAGGTAAAGAAAAATTCGGTTCCGGTGGTAAAACCAGCAAGGAGAATCCCACAGTCGTTAGCAGAAAAAGTCAAAAATGAGTTACACAAAATGGTAGAAAATGGAATAATTGAACGCATGGATGGTCCTATTGAACGTGCCTCTAATCTTGTAGTTGTTGAGAAGAAATCAGGTAAACTTCGTTTGTGCATAGACCCGCAAGATTTAAATGCAGACATTTTATCGGAAAATCATACGATTCCATCATTTGAATCTATATCGGTACGTATTGCTAATAGTAAGATATTCACTGTGTTGGATTTGAAAGAAGGGTTTTGGCAAATCGGACTTAGTCAAAAAGCTAGTAAACTTTGTGCTTTCAATACACCGTTTGGGTGTTATCGTTTCAAGCGCTTGCCATATGGTATAAAAATAGGCCCTGAGGTTTTTCAAAAATACAATGAGAGAAATTTTGATGATATTCCAAATGTAATAGTCTTCATTGACGATATATTGATTGCAGCTAAAAGTGTTGAAGAGCATGACCACACATTAAAGCTAGTTATGGCTCGCGCAAGGAAGTTGAATATCAAATTTAATGTCGAGAAAATTCAATATAAGGTACCAGAGGTCAAATATTTAGGAAAAATTATTTCACCAGAGGGCATACGCTGTGATCCTGACCGAGTAAAAGCGATAATGAAAATAAAAAAACCGAATAATAAGAAAGATTTGCAAAAATTGCTCGGCATGATAAATTATATTCGTGAATACATACCAAATTTATCTAGTATTTCACAACCGTTACGAGAATTGCTAAAATCCAATGTCGTGTATGAATGGCATTCAGCTCACGAAAGTTGCTTAGAGTCGATAAAAACACTAATTGCAAACGCACCAACGCTTCAATCTTTTGATGAAAGAAAAGAAATAACCCTCGAAACAGATGCATCTAAATCTGGCATAGGGTGTTGCCTCATGCAAAACGGAAAGCCTATCGCATTTGCATCACGCAGTCTTACAGACGCCGAAATTAACTACGCTCAGGTTGAAAAGGAGTTTTTAGCCATTTTATTTGCTTGTCGTAAATTTCACTATTACATCTATGGTCGAAAGGTTACGATTAGGACAGATCATAAGCCCCTTGTTTCGATAATGAAAAAAGAATTTTGCAAAATCCCTTCCGCTAGACTCCAACGCATTAAACTTAGTTTAATTAAATATGACCTAAACTTGATCCACGTTCCAGGAAAATTTTTATACATCGCTGATCTGTTGTCTCGATACTTTGATGAGGACAATAACGCGCCCGATATTGAAGATCTTAACGAATTCGTCCATTCATTAAACATCACCGACGAACGCCTAAACAGTTTTCGAATCGAGATAGAAAAAGATAAGCATTTAACGCAGTTGAAACAAGTTTTAATAAATGGCTGGCCTCATAAGAAAGAGTTGTTATGTGACGATATTAAAATGTTTTGGAAGCATCGTTCTGATCTGTTTTTAGAAGACGGTATCTTATATTTGAATAACAGGGTTATTGTACCGCCTGTTTTGAGAGAAACCATATTATCGCAGCTGCACGTGTCTCATTTAGGTATTGAAAAAACAAAAAAAGCGCGCTCGCGAATTAGTGTACTGGCCAGGAATTGATGGTGCTATTGAGAAAATGATAACCAATTGTGACATATGCCAGCGAAGTCGATCCGCTAATGTTAAGGAACCAATGATACCACACAGCATTCCCAATCTACCCTTTAATAAAATAGGCGTAGACATTTGTGAATTTGCATCAAGAAACTATTTAATAATAGCGGATTATTACTCGCGATATTTGGACATAGCGCCGTTGAAATCGAAAACAGCAACTGAGTGTATCAATGCACTTAGAACATGTTTCGCCGTACACGGATTACCTGTAGAAATAATTTCAGACAATATGCCCTTCAATTCATACGAGTTTAAACGATTTTGTGATCAAATTGGAGCTAAATTAACAACAACAAGCCCTGGTTATTCGCAATCCAACGGTTTTGCTGAGCGTTTCGTTGGGATAGCAAAAAACTTAATAAAGAAAACAAATGAGAGTAAAAAAGAGTTATGGCTGGCCTTACTCGAATATCGCAATACACCGCTTAAAGATATTGATGCTTCACCAGTGGAACTTTTAATGAGTAGAAAAACCCGCACCCTTTTGCCAACAAAAACAACTTTGTTTCAACCAAGAATCATTCCGAATATATCTAACAACATAAATGCAAAAAATTACAAGTCAAAAAAATACTACGATCGTTCTGCATCGCAAAAAAAATCCTTTGTGAAGGGTGACAAGATATGGTATAAGAACAACAATAAGGGATGGGTAAAAGCTACAATCATCGACACACACGATTCACCTAGATCATACTGGATCGAACTAGAAGACCAAACCATTTACCGGCGAAATTCGAAATGGCTGCGAAAACGATTATAGTTATTGGTATATTAGAATATTTGAACTTTTTTAATCATTGAATTATAAATTATTAATGAATTTACTTAGTATATGAATTAAGAAGGGAGATGTTATATATATGTAAACTATGGCATCCCCTACACACATACATGTAACTTACTTTACGTTGACATCACTGTCACTTTAATTGAAATAAACAAAACAGTCTTGTACTGCACTTAAACGGAATAACACATAGTTATAGGCACGTTGTTTTCTTAGTTCTCAGGAGAGGTAACTACA